CAGATCACTTCCCCTCTCTGGGAGATACTGGGAAAAGCTGAGGTTGGGAGGAAGGCTCTGGTGGCTCAGGGTTTCTGACTCTTCCTCAACCACAGCTACGGTTCATCAAGCACTTTCTACTCGCCCAGCATTGTCAAAGCCTGCAATACCCAATAAGGCAGCCACTTGTCACATTAGCTATTTAAAGTAAGTACAATTAACAACAATGAACATTTTAGTTCCTCCATCCCACTAGCTGATTCAAGTGCTTGATAGCTCCATGTGGCTAGTAGCGACTGGACAGCCCAGACAACATTTCATCATCACAGAAAGTTCTATTAACATGTTTTTATCTCATTTACTTTTATAACAACCTTCTGATGCAGGTGTAATCATTAATCCACGTTAGAGATAAGGGCCTCAGGTGCAGAGAGGTTGGGAACTTAGCCAAACTCTCAGCCGATTAGTGTCCAAAGCAGCCGTGGGCAAACTACGGCCCGCGGGCCGGATCCGGCCGTTTGAAATGAATAAAACTATTGAAAAAAAAGACCATACCCTTTTATGTAATGCTGTTTACTTTGAATTTATATTAGTTCACACAAACACTCCATCCATGCTTTTGTTCCGGCCCTCCGGTCCAGTCTAAGAACCCATTGTGGCGCTCGAGTCAAAAAGTTTGCCCTCCCCTGGTCCAGAGTGAGGGCTCAAGCTCAGGTGGATGGCTCTGGAGCCCGCCATTCTGTGTCTACGCCGGGTGTTGCCCCATAACCCCAGCTACTCAGCTCGCTCTTCTTACCTCTCAGTAGTGGGACTGATTCTTCCCATCCCACAGCCATTGTCCCTCACAGCTCATCCCCTGCAGCTGACCTGAATGATGAGGGCACCTGGGCTTCCAGTCCCTTCTGGAAGAACATCCCCTCTATTGCCCTCCCCACTTCCTGTCAGGCCTGTTTTATTTAGAGCATTAGCATTAAGGGGTTTGATCCCTCTCCTAACACATCCCTGTTAGGTTCACGGAAGGAGGTACACACGAGGCCCAAAGGGTAAAGAATTGTAAATTTACTAGGTCATCTGGGAACCAGATGGGCCGAGCCCCAAAATGGCGCCAGCACCCAGGGACAGGGAGTCAGAGATTTTAAAGGATTCTAGATGGGCTTTGTTGGCGGGGAAATTCTCTGGGCAGGTCCGGATCCTGGGTAAGTCTGGAAGGGAAAGTTACTGGGTTTAGGAATGTGGTCTAAGCCCGTGGTTGGCAAACTGCGGCTCGAGAGCCACATACGGCTCTTTGGCCCCTTGAGTATGGCTCTCCCTAAGCCTTAGGAGTACCCTAATTAAGTTAATAACAATGTACCTACCTATATAGTTTAAGTTTAAAAAATTTGACTCTCAAAAAAAATTTCAATCGTTGTACTGTTAATATTTGGCTCTGTTGACTAATGAGTTTGCCGACCACTGGTCTAAGCGAAAGGGAATGCCGTTTGCGAAATGATCTAAAAGTCAGTTTCTCAGGGGAGTGGGGTATCGATTAGATGATTCAATTACTTTATCAGACCTAACATTCCAGCCTTTTTGTTTTATGGAATAGGGACAGAGGTCATTTCTTCCATAGTTATTTCCTGCTGAGAAGGGACATCGAGATCATAAGGGGATGGACTTTGATTGTAGTCGGCTGGAACGCTGTATCGATTTCTCCTGGTTGGAGTGAGGGGTTGCAGCAGCATGATTCCCTGAGAGACTGGTTGGTGAAGGCTTGCAAGCAGTCCTGTTGAGTGATTTTAGGGGGAAAGCTGGTCCTGAGGCCATCACAGTGTCACTTGTCTGGGCCTGGAGCTAAAATACCACTGAGGCCTCGATGTTATCTTTCGGGAGGAAAAAACAGGGGTCTCAGCTGCCTGACTACTGATATGAAAGGGGAGGATAGGTTACCCTGGGGGCGAGGTTCCCAGTTTTGCTGCTTGCTAGTATTATTGCGGCAAAAGCTAGAATGACAAGAATTTTGACAAATGATCTCATGGAAGGAAAGAGACACTAGTTTGGAGAGTTGTAGCCAAACATTATAAAGTTTATATTTTTAGGTCCATTGTAGAGTTTTAAATATATATATATATTAGAGGCCCAGTGCACGAAATTCATGTGTGGGAGGGGGGTTGTCCCTCAGCCAGGCCTGCTCTCTCTCGCAATCCAGGACCCCTTGGGTAGGGTCCCTAGGCCTGGCCGGTGATCAGGGCCTATCAAGGCTTTCCTTCATCCCCCCACGCCCCTGCTGCCGGCAGCTGGCCCCGGCCATGCCACTGCCACTGCCACTGCTTGCCATCTGTGCAGCACTGCTCCCCACTACCCTGCCACCAGTCGCCTCCCTCTGCAGGCAACAGGCATGGGGTGCTATTGCTTGGCTGGCCTGAGCCTCCCTCTGTGGGGTGATCGCTGGCCGGCCCTGCACACCTGCCACAGCATTGCTAGCCAGTGGCCTGGGCCTCCCTCTGTGGGGTGATGGCTGGCCGGCCCTGCACACCTGCCACAGCATTGCTAGCCAGTGGCCTGAGCCTCCCTCTGTGGGGTGATCGCTGGCCGGCCCTGCACACCTGCCACAACATTGCTAGCCAGTGGCCTGGGCCTCCCTCTGTGGGGTGATCGCTGGCCGCCCTGCACACCTGCCACAGCATTGCTAGCCAGTGGCCTGGGCCTCCCTCTGTGGGGTGATGGCTGGCCGGCCCTGCACACCTGCCACAGCATTGCTAGCCAGTGGCCTGGGCCTCCCTCTGTGAGGTGATCGCTGGCCGCCCTGCACACCTGCCACAGCATTGCTAGCCAGTGGCCTGAGCCTCCCTCTGTGGGGTGATGGCTGGCCGGCCCTGCACACCTGCCACAGCATTGCTAGCCAGTGGCCTGGGCCTCCCTCTGCAGGATGATAGATTGTGGGGTGATCGATTGCAGGGCTCTGCAATCGATCGTCGCACAGAGGGTGGCCTGGGCCTGCGCCTTTGTGGCAATCGCAGAGTCCCCCTTCCCCCCCTTGATCGCCCTGCTGGCCGGTGGTCTGGGCCTCCCTCTTAGGGGAGCTCGAACACGGAATCCCCCATCGATCACCCTGCAGAGGGTGGCCTGGGCCTCCCTCTGTGGGATGATCATGGGGCGATGGTGGCCCCCCGACCAATCACATCACACCCACCTTGGCTGGCCTGGCGCCAGTGGGTGTCATAGTGGGGTCATCCGGAAGGTCGTCCGGATGGTTGTTCTGCTGTTTGGTCGTTTTTCATATTATGCTTTTATTATTATAGATGAGTATGTGTATACATATATACATATATATGTGTGTGTATATATACATATATGTGTGTGTATATATATATATATTAACTGTATACACACACACACACACATATAAAACCCCTGTCCCACATGAGTGGGTACAAGAACTAACATTCATGTGTGTTCAACAGCTGCCTATTGAGCACAGACTGTGTTCTCAGCACAGATCCTGGCCAGAGGTCATATCTGGCCATGAGCAAGACAGGCAGAGTCCCTGCTCTCATGGAGCTTACATTCTAGCCTGAACAGACAGGTGATAATAAGTAGGAAATTTAATAAATAATGTAATTTCAAATAGTGATAAGTGCTCTGATGATAATGCAATTAGAGCTGATGATAGCGACTGGGGAGAATTCTTTTGATTGGGGGTCGCAGGAAGACATGTCTATGGAGGTGACATTTGAACTGATGTACAGCAGAGGATCAACCATAAATGTTGAGTGACTAAGTGGCTGGGTGGCTGGGTATCTGGGTGGCTGGGTATCTGGGTGGTTAGGTGACTGGGTGGCTGATGGCTAAATGGCTGAGTAGCTGAGCAGTTAGGTATCTAGTTGCTTAGATGACTGGGTGGCTAAGTGGCTGGATGGTTGGGTATCTGGGTGGTTGGGTGGCTGGTGGTTAGGTGGTTGGATGATTAGGTGCCTAAGGGGCTAGCAAATTGGATGATTAAATGGACATCAGCACCCACTCTAGGGCCTCTTTGTCAGAAAGTTCTTTCTACTATTTAACATAACTTTCTCATTTTGTTCTCTTGAAGTTCCCTATGTTGGGAAAACTGGTTAGTCTTATCTATGCCTCTTCTATCTCCAAGTGTGTTTCTGGGCCACAAAAAATGAATGGATGGGGACAAAACAGGATTCCAGGCAGTGAGTCAACCATAAAAGTTGAGTGACTAAGTGACTGGGTCTCCCAGAAACAGGTTTAGAGCAATATCAGACTAGGCCCCTCCCGCAGGAGTCTTAACTAATGCCTAGGAAGAGGAGAAACCCAGGACTCCACTAGTCTCAGGTTGAGAGTAATTCTAGGGTAACTCAAGTCCCAGCAGAGTGGCTCTGGGACTCCATCCTGTTTCCTCAGCAGTAGCCGTGGCCTCTGTCTCCTTGCAGTGGCCCTGGCCTCTGTCTCCTTGCAGTGGCCTGGCCTCTGTCTCCCTGCAGTGGACTGGCCTCTGTCTCCCTGCAGTGGCCTGGCCTCTGTCTCCCTGCAGTGGCCTGGCCTCTGTCTCCCTGCAGTGGACTGGCCTCTGTCTCCTTGCAGTGGTCTGGCCTCTGTCTCCCTGCAGTGGCCTGGCCTCTGTCTCCCTGCAGTGGACTGGCCTCTGTCTCCCTGCAGTGGCCTGGCCTCTGTCTCCCTGCAGTGGCCTGGCCTCTGTCTCCCTGCAGTGGCCTGGCCTCTGTCTCCCTGCAGTGGCCTGGCCTCTGTCTCCTCCTTGCAGTGGCCTGGAGCTCCTGTGTTCTCCATTCATCAAAGCCAAGGTCTCCCTTCTCTCCTTTTCATGGTCAGAGAAACAGGTGTGTTGTCTGCAGATCAACCTACTTTCTCCCTCAGCTCCCTGCCCTCCTGTCCATCCTGTTCCACTGGCCTCCACAGAGTTTTCTGTCAAGTAAGAAAAGATTCTGACCTATAATCATTTTTGACCTTCAAGGACATGTTCTGTGACGCCAGGGAGGGAGAATGCCAACCAACAATTGGTGCTGCTAGAAAGAGCAGTCATGGACGCCAGGCACCTCAGTCAGTTACCCTTGAGCATCATTTCTTCCAGGGTGAGGGGAGTGGAACCTAAAGATCCAAGGAGATCCAGGCAAAGGCGGGGTAGCTGGGCCTCTCCGAGGAGCTGATATGGTAAGTCTCCCTATCTGAGTCCTCATCAATATGCTCGGACCATCATCCTGGCGCCTGAGGCCATCTGGGACCCATAGTGTCTGGCTTGTCAAAGAAGAACGGCCAGCCTGGGGCTTCCCTGCAGATGATGCAGGGTCCCCAGGGGCTCTTCTCTCATCCCCCTCAGGGTACAAAATGCGTTTTAGGAATGAGGACAGAAATTATAGAGCCCTTCCCATGACTGTAATGGAAATAAAACTTCCTGCAGGGAGTGGAAATAGCAGCGGGGCCTGGGGAAGCCTGACAAGGGAAGCAGGAGGCAGGAGCCCAGGCTGTGGCGCTTGCTACACACACCTCCAGCACCTCCCTGGAGGCGGCAGGAGCTGTCCTGAGGTAGCCAGGGCCGAAGAACCCAACCTCGGGGAGCGAGCATCAGGTTAGGAGGAATGAGGCAGAGCAATAAGTGGAAAGAATCCAGCTTGACCCAAGCTCGGCCTGGTGGTAGAGGGAAGTAGAATATACAGGGAGACAAGGAGATGGGAGGGAAGACGGCCAGACAGAAGCTGCAGAGAATAGGGAAGGGGAGGGGAAGGGAAGGAATAAAGAGAAGAAGAGGAGAGAAGAGGAAAAGGGAGTAAAGGCACTCAAGGTCCCACCCTGTTCTAGCCTGGCATGAAGGACTGAGGGACAGGGACAGCTGTGGAGTGCTGTCTTGGCCTCCATCCTCAATGGGAGGCCCTCGGCTGAGAGACAGTGAGAGAAAGGATTGAAGGGTCCTGCAGCTCCAGGAGGACATTGTTCCGGTGTCACAGTCCAGCTGTCCCTCCATTTTTGGCCAAACCCCGTGTTTAAAGGAGACATCCTGACTGGGATACCAGGGAAGGAAGAACTCAGCCCTGTCCCAGGTGAAGGTCTACACAGATGAAAACCCCTCCATTTCTTTAGGCTAGCCAGCCTCTGACCATGGGACAGCCACAGTGAGGAACAGTGGCCAGTACAGCTGCACTAGGGCGGCGACGCACTTTCTACACGTGGGCAGACACACCTCAGGGACAGCCATGGCTCAAGTTCAAGGGGAGTCACCAGCTGGGGGATTGAAGGAGAGGAAGGTGCTGCTCTGGGATCTGGTCTCAGAGGTCAGCAGCTCTCTGGGCAGCACCCCTCCCTCTGGCTGCCCCTGATGCAGGGCCAATCCACAGGGCCCTAGCTTGTCCAGGATGCTGTCCACATGCCCTGACACCACCCTCACCTCCCCACCCCACACCTAGGACACATCAGGAGCCAGGGGAAAGAGAGGGGTGGGAAGATGCCCTGAACCAGCTCTGCTACTCACCATCCCCCTCTTGAGACCTGGGCCAGACCAGAGGGGACTAGATGTCCTCTAAGGCCCTTGGCTCTGGGGTGCAGGGGCTGGGGCTGTGTGGGAGTTGCCTCAGAGCCCATGGGGAGGTGAGAGGCCAGATCCTGTCTCCTTCAGCCTCCTGGGGCCTCACTGTGCAGGACTTCCCTCCTGAGCCCTGGGCTAACTTCTCCCCAGAACTCTTCCTGCCCCCTGTGCTGAGCATCGTCCCCTCTCCCAAGCCCCATGAGGGAAGCCCCCTGACCCCGAGATGCCAGACAAAACTCCACCCTCAGAGGACGGCCTCATGGCTCCTCTTCTCCTTCTACAAGGAAGGCTGCACCTTGCAGAGCAGGGGCCTCCACTCAGAGCTCTGCATCCCAGCAGCCAGCAGGGAGACTCTGGATTTACTGGTGTGAGGCAGCCCCTGGGGGTGTCATGGTCCAGAAACAGAGCCCCCAGATGGAGATCAGGATGTAGGGTAAGTGGGGGAGGGATGGAGATATTCCTCAGGGGTCTGGGCATTGGGCAGTGGGGCCCCCTGGGAGTGGGGGAGTGTTCTCTAAGGGAGGTGGAGCCAGGAGTCCTGGTGTTCCAGCTGACCTCTCACCTGGGGTGCTGCCCCAGCTCCTATGTCCTGTTCTCTGCTCACCCTGAGTTCCGGGCCCCCTGGTCTTACTGTGGGAGACATGGTGAAGCTCCTCTGTGAAGCTCAGAGGGGCTCCCTTCCTATTCTGTACTCATTCTACCTGGAGGGAGATTTTGGGGAACTGCTCAGCCCCCCACGGCGAAGCTGTCTCTCTTCTCTTCCCAAGGATGTCAGAGCAGGATGCTGGGAACCACACGTGTGAGGCTGAGAGCAGGGTCTCCATGGAGACAAGTCAGCCTGAGACATTCTCCCTGGATGGTACATCTTATCCCTCACCCATCTCTGAGCCCCATGCTGCCAGGACAGACCCCACTACTCCATGTACCTCCCACCAGGTGGGCACAGTGCTGAGCCCATAGCAAGTACTGCACGATTCAGCATGAACCCTGCTTGGAGTATCTATTCATTGAACCGGGGGTGGGGAGGGGCGCGGTACAATGAAGTCCATGGAGAATGGGCAGCACAGAGCGAGGGCCACATAGTCCTCCATAATAATGGCCCTTCCCTGCTGTCCTCCTCTGAGTCATCCCTGATTCCCATCTCCAGGGCGTGTGCAGGCCAGGCCATGTGCTTGCCCCTCATGCCAGCCATCTGCCTCTTTTGTGCCTGTTCGGAGCACATTTCTGAATCTCATCCTCAACATGCATGGTCACGCCTCCTCATCCCCCAGGACCTCATGCCTTGTCCTCTCCGAGCAGCAGTAACTGTCTGGTTCCTCGGCTGTCTGCAAGTTTGCTTGTTGTGATGGTCATTGCTGCTGCACGTCTGGGTTATTTCAGACCCTGGAGAAAAACTGGTCAGTAACTCTTGTGGAACTTCTTAGGTGATGAGTCCCTATGCCAGACACGGGCCAGCCTTCGGAATGCCAGAGTGTGACAGATCCAGTGCTTTCTTCTCCTGGGTATCGGGTGGGAAGAGGGACTCCTTGTCACATGTCATACATAGAGGGACCCTTAGCAGCTTCTGAAACACATACACAATCACCCAGAGACGCACACAGACAGATGACTGCACACTAGGGCATGGACAGAGGCACACAAAGGACAAAACTCAGACAAGGTGACTAAAAAAACGCCAAGGCCTCCAACTCTCTCATTAAACTCAGCAGAACTCTGGTCTTAGCAGAAGAGAAAGAAGAACTGAGAACTCCAGTGTGTGTGCATACTCACACACACGCACCCTTGGGCAGTGCTGTGCCCTAGGTCAGTGTTCAGTGGGTGTTAACTCATCACAAGGAAACACAAACAAGAGAGAACTGACCAATGACCTGGTCCCAATGCTGCTATTTCCTAATTTCTTACTGGACCAGTCTAGGCTACGCAGGTGACAGGGCAGGTTCCCCAAGAGGCCCTATCTCCTATTCTTCATTCTCTAATTCTTCCAATCAGAGTCATTGAAAAAAAACAAATTTTTGTTAAAATTCGAATGTAGAGGATTCTTTAGAGAAAAAGAGGGTAAATGATTAGATAAATGGCACTTTGGGTAATCTATTGATTTTGATACTCTCTAGACTCTCTTCTTCTTCCTGTCTTGGGCATGATAATTAAGCATCAAATTTGGCTTTCAAATCCATCACCTTGGGTGGCCACATGATTATGCCAACTCTAACCCTTACTTGCTTCAGGCCATGCTTAAGTCTGCCAATGCCAAAGCTATTTGGTGCCAGTTTACTTCTAGGCCTTCAAATCCACCTACAGAGTTTCACATTTACCTACTTACTCCAGGAGCAACATACTTATTTTCCACTTGTCAAGGGCAAAAGTAATGGCTCTCATAGACCTCAGACCCAGATGTATTTATTCAAGCTTGCAGCTCTCTCTATTAAGGAATCTGTGGTGAGTTCTCCAGGAGCTGGGCCAAACTACTCTTGAGAAAGGCCACCAGTCATGCAACCCAAGTATTCCTTCCTGACCATCAGCCAGGACCCCTGAAAGGGTCTCTCCCCAGCTCTAGACCAGTCCCCCACCTCACCGGGCACCTCCGTTAGGGCTTGGGCCAGCCTCCAACTTCCTCTCCCCTTCTTAACTTAGCACTATTTGTCTGTCCAACCGCCCATCCTCACTTCCCTTCCTTCTAGTCTTGAGTCTGACACCTGTGTGGTCAGAGAAAGGTGAGGCAGGTCCAGAGTTAGATGGGAAGGCAGCTGGAGATGGGGCCATGAACTGAAGATCTGTGAGTTCTACCATCCCTGCCTCTATACTAAAGCCTCCTTCCCCTGGCCAACCTGGCCTGGTATTTCTGTGCACTCACCCCTGAGTCAGAGCATTAAAGGCAAAGCAACACGGCACAGCCGGCTCCTTACCAGCCCAGACAAGGTGGTGGAGAAGCAGTCACTGGTGAAAGATCCTCAAGAGGAAGGTGCCTTTCATCGGGAGTAAAGAGCATCCCTCTTCGTGTGAGGATTCTGCCTCCCCACCCATCCCCACCCACACAGGGAGCACCTGTCTCTCATGAAAATAAGACTCCTGGTGATGTCCTCTGACCTCAGAGTCTCAGGGGCACGAAGCCTTCTTTAGAATGTTGCTCTTGTGTACCCTCAGGCCCAGGCCCATAGTACACAAGCAAAATGGTCAGATCAACAGCTTTATTCTCCATACCTGGGTCTGGAAGCCCCTTCACCGTTTCCACGTGGCATATTTATTCCTCCACAAACAAAAATATTTACCACTAAAGATATTCAACAGCCCTAACTGGTTTGGCTCAGTGGATAGAGCGTCGGCCTGAGGACTGAAGGGTCCTAGGTTCGATTCCGGTCAAGGGCATGTACCTTGGTTTCAGGCACATCCCCAGTAGGGAGTGTGCAGGAGGCAGCTGATCGATGTTTCTAACTCTCTATCCCTCTACCTTCCTCTCTGTAAAAAATCAAAATAATATATTTTTTATAAAAGTTAAAAAAAAAAAAGATAGTCAACAGACTGTACCTCTAAAGGCGATTTTCAAAGTGTTTTGACCTAGAGCTAGACTAATAGTATCACCAGAACTAGAATGTGGTCGTGCAAGGAGTCCACTTCCAGTAGCACTTACCTAGGCATAGATATTCTGCTTTCTTTGTTTAAAAGGGTTTCTTTCACTACCTGTTGTTACACTTCCCATAAAACAGACTCCCGTCAAATTCACAGAGCTCCTTATTGAGTGAAGACTCAGAAACAGCCCTGACAGGTGAGCATTAGGGATCTTTAATAATCAGGGGCCTCTCTGAGTCTCCATAAATGTCCTCTTGGTTTTTCAGGAGGCGCCATGTCCACAGATCTTACCCCAGGTAGAGCTAATGACTATTTCTTGGACACTGGCCATGAGCCAAGCGTTCTGGAATCCACATGTGACCCAGTTTCTAACCTGAGAGCTAATGTTTAAAGCTCTGGAAGCATCTTCTACCAGAGGGGCAGCATGTTAGTGGAGAAAAGCATACAAACCTGGATTCCAATTCTGTCCCCACCACTTACTGTTAGATCTTGGAGAAATTACCTCTCTGAGCTTCAGTTTCCTCATCTATAAAATGGAGAAAAGAGTACAGACCTTTGCAAGGTGGTTGCGAAGAATAACAGACACTGAATAATTAGGAAAAGAAGCTTTTTAGACATCCAGCCATGTGCTGGTCACTGGATTAGGAGCTTTGCATGAATTTGAACTCCCTAACCCAGTGTCTGGTATATAATGTACAAAGTTATTAGCTTTTCCTCCTAAAAAGCAGCCCAACTGGTGGGTCTGGGCCCTTTCCATGCAAAGTGTACCCCATCATTTCTGACCCTGCCTCTTACCAGTTTGTGATTTCCCTGGTGCCACCCTACCCTCTAGGGTGTTTTTCAAAGGAAACATCTCATAAAAATTAACCATGTCCAGACCTGTGAATTGGCCCTTATAAACAAACCAGCCTTGGCCCTGCAGCAGCCTCCACTGACATTTTTTTCTCTTAGCCTCTCTGTCTTCACTGTCCAGCCTACTCCCTGAAGGTATTTGGTGAATTGCTGCTTTTGTATTTCCTAGGGCCTCTCTCACCCCTGAATCGGCCCCAGGCCCCAGGTGGAGAGCAGCACCCATTGTATGCCAGCGGTAAGGATTCCAGCAGGACCATGGTCTGCTATGAAGGCCGGGAAGGGTTTCTTAAGGGGAGGAGATGAAGGGAGCCCTGTGAGCCAGAGTTTCAGGATTCAGTCATCCGGGGAAGGAAGCAGATGGCTCTTGAGAAGCGAGTGCTGTGGAGTTGGGATGGGAGAGGGAAGCAAGGAGGGAGCCGACCTCCAGGAGAGAAGGCAGGGGTGGTTAGACTAAGGTTTGGCAAACTGTGGCCATGGGCCAAGCCCTGCCAACATGCATTTTTGTAAAGAAAGTTGTTTTTTGTTTTGTGTCTGGCTGATTTCACACTAGACCCTAGAGGTTGCAACAGAGACTATGGCCCACGAAGCCTAAGATATTTACTATCTCATTTACAGAAAAAGTTTGCCAACCTCTAGTTTGAACAGTGCTGGGCTGGAGTGGCAGCTAGAATCTGCTACAAGGGCCAGGCACCTCCTGCCTAGATGGATATTCCACATTAATGACCACCTCCCACTGCCACAACAGAGCTCCTGACTGGCTTCCCTCCATCATTAACTCAAAGACACTGACTTATATCTTGACATGGGACAGCCAGGCAGATCCTATTTCAGCCTCACTCCTTCTTTCAGTTCATTACCTGAATGAAAGAGATGAAGGCATTATCTACTCTGTGATTCATACAACCCCAAAGAAGAGTGAAGGTGAGTGATCTTGGGCCAAACTTGACATGTTTCCTCATGTAAAGGAGAAATTTGGGTTCTAGGGTGAGGTATCACTACCACTATCATCACCATTACCATTTGTGACCAAAATTACCATCACCGCCACCACTATCTTCACCACCATCATCTCCTCCTTCACCACCGTCATCTCCTTCTTCACCACCATAACCACCACTGTGACCACCATAATCACCACCTCAACATCATCTCCACCACCACTGTTACCATCCTAACTACGGAACGTTTGCCCTTTTCTGAGCACTGTGGAGGAATAAAAAAGAAAATGACACAATTTGTCTTTGCCCCAGAGTCTAAGTTGAAACAGGACATTCTCAGCTATCAGAGGAAGTCATGAAGACCACGGGCTCCAGCCATGCTGCTAGAGCTAGGAAGGCGGGGACAGGGAGCGGCTGGTCCTCTCTCCAGCAGAGGGAGGGAAGATGCGGGTTTCTGAGTCAGGCAGAACTGAGTTCACAACCTGACTCAAGGTACTCACTGTGTGAGTAGGCAAGTTATTTAACCTCCCTAAGCCTAATCCATAAAGTGGAGAGAATGCCTGCTTTGCAAGACTATTATTAATTAATAGGAATAGAACCTGGGTTCTAGAAACCTTAAAGATCCTCTGGTATGTCATAGGCGTTCAGAAAAGGGAGCTTTTTCATAGCTCGCCTGCTCTGAGATTTCCATTCTTGGTCTGTAAAATGGGTTTGAATCAGCCTAGGGTTTCTGCTTCCTCCCATAAATGACACTAGAGCCGTGGTCGGCAAACTGCGGCTCGAGAGCCTCATGCGGCTCTTTGGCCCCTTGAGTGTGGCTCTTCCTAAGCCTTAGGAGTACCCTAATTAAGTTAATAACAATGTACCTACCTATATAGTTTAAGTTGAAAAATTTTGGCTCTCAAAAGAAATTTTAATCGTTGTACTGTTGCTATTTGGCTCTGTTGACTAATGAGTTTGCCAACCACTGGAGAGGAATCTCCTGACTCAGGGGCAGTTACCCCAGGGCAGATGGGAAAGGACAGATGGCCCACGTCCTTCCTGAGAAGAG